TGCCACGAATCTTTCCCCATCCACGCGTCTAACGCGCACAAAGTACTGCGCCTGCCACGAAATGTCACCTCCCTCACACCTCGCAACCTCACGATTCCCTGCGCCTGCCACGAGAATTGCACTTCCACGCTTCAAAGCCCGCACGAAGTCCTGCGCCTGCCACGAAAAGTGACAATATCATCGCATGTGAGCTTCAACAAAATTTGCACCACACCACACGTTTGGAATGATTTCGACCCGTTCAGAGCACACTCCCATCCATCAAAATCGCCATTTCAGCTGAGACTTGTCACGAAAACAGAGCTTCGATGCCACACCCTGAAACGCAAATCCCAATGGCACGGCCACATCCAACACCCCAAAAACACGACTCTCCAAACGCTAATCCCAATGGAACTGCGCCGTAATCTGCGGATCTCACAAAACGCTGCGCCTGTGCAGCGAAGTGCATCACGTTTCTTGCGCGACATGTCCGTGTCACGCAAATCACAATGGAATAGCGGCGCAAACTGACACGTGACACATCCATGCAAAGTCACTTGCAAAAGCTTCCCCCAATGGCAGCAAATTTGAGACGCGACGACGACGACAGACGACGACAGACGACGAGAGACGACGACAAACGACGACACGACGCAAGCCACGCGAACACAGCTCCAACCCCCAGACCCCCAACTATAAACGGGAACCCTTCGCTACGCATTCGGGAAAAAAAAAAGGCTTCCCGCACTTCAACTGTGCAATGCACTGTTCTGCCAGATTTCCCCATGCCTTTCGCCTAGAGTTCTGTATACAGACCCCCAAATAGATAGAGTAAATCCCCACTAGTTCTGTATTGGACACATTTGGAAACCATTTCTACCTCTTTGGGGACCAACAACACTCGTTTTTGGGCATCGTTGCAGTTCGGCACCGGTCCGTACGACCGTCTTCAGACCTCTCGCGCTGCAGTACCGGCCCAGGTACTGGGCCAGGACGCGCCCATGCCGCCGAACATGGGACATGCCTCAAGCTTCCAGCCTTTGGCGCCTCGGCGAATCGCCACGTGGTGCGGTTCTTCCCGCACCAGGTGCTTTTTCGGAGTCGATGGAAACCAGCAGGTGAATCGTGTTTGCTCTTAAGTGCTCATTCACATGTTGCAGACATGCTATTGTTCTGCAAAAATATCATTCAAACGTTCAAATATAGTCCAATATATTTGTACCCTTTGGATCCTTTGGGCCTCTTCCCCGAACCAATTCACCTGATTCTACTTCTTTCCACTACTCGCAAAGTACTGCTTCATGTTGAATTTTCTGAGACCCTGGAGGACACCAAATAACAACTTGTTGCATCTGTTTGTTGCAACGGGAGGAACAAAGCTCGTCAGAAATGCCAAACGCAAAACTCTTCCACCCCCAAAAAAAACAGAGTGTGTACATGTGTGTACTTGTAATTCCACTTGGAAAAATCTTTGAAGAACACACGAAATACGAAGGAGGTCGCTCTGATCATCCGACGGTGAAGCCCCCCTCCCTGGTGCCCCAATCATATCTTGGGACCACGCAGAACCGCGGTCTGCGCGGTCTGGTCGCCGCTCGCCCGAACCATACGCAGCTCTCGGGTGAGGTCACTTTCACTCACTGAACTGCCCTCTCGTTGGATCATCAGAGTGGGAGATTTCTTCCCCTTTCTCCCCTTCGTGAAACCGCAAGAACGTTGGACACCGCCGTTCTCCACCGCTTCTCACCGTGGACCAGCGGCCCATGGAGCGTGTGATGGCCAAAATGCTCTCCTGGATGGATGGCAGGATGGCAGTCCGGTGAAGCAGCGGAAGAGGTCAAATGAGACAAAGAACCGGTCGGGGTGAACAAGAGAATTTAACCTACCTATGTTTATCCATTCACCAATAGTTATATAACTATATATATCACAAGAGTCTCCACATTAAAAGAAAAAGACATCACCAGTTGAGATCTTTTTCAGGCCCAAAGCTCCAAGAACGCAGAGTAAACAACCGTGGGAGGAGCCAATTGCTTCTGTTCAACGAATGTTCCGGTGATTTTGCTGTGTGCCAGACACTGGTCGTTTACGCAAGTGCATTGCTTTTGTCCATGATGTCACCTGTCCTGGAAGATGTTATCCATGAAGGTGCTGGCAGTCCCTACCAGGGTAACCTCACGTATGCTGTGGTGGGACTTCCAGTGCCAAACTAGCTGCATTAGCTTTCAGCATGCACCTGTGAGCGTGCAGGCCTGTCACGAGCGTGGTCTCCAAGCCGCCCACGTCTCCATCCTGCTCCGACCTGCCATCTGACAGCACCTCGAAAGTCCGAGATGGTTGGTTCCACCAGGTCTAACGGTCTATACCAGGACCTTCCAAGCCCGGTGGTTTTTGGGCACCCCGAATCACCACTAAGAGGCTATTTATAGACACCTCGACTGGAAGGTCCTGGTATAACTCATCTTTTGCAGCAGGTTCTTCAAAGTGATCTGGTGGTGTTCATTCCCGTTTTGGGCGAGTAGTACTTCATCTGGTGTGGATTGCTTGGCGCTTGGCAGACCTCAGCGACCTCTTCAACTCAGGAAAGCCATCCTCCTCGCTCTCCTCACTGAGTCTTGCCTTCTTAGCTGCTTTGGCAGGTGGGTCAACTGTGCTTGGTGCTGCGCTGCTAGCGGCTGCTGGTGGGGCCTGTGCTTTCGCCTTTGCTTTGCCCTTTGGAGCTGTGGGGGGCGCGGTGGTTCAGTGCAACCTTCCGGGAAAAGTCCCATCCATCTGCCGGCGGAAACTGCAAGGCCCGGAAACGTGCAGCCACGCCTGAGCCCACAACTTCCGCATCTCGCAAGAGCACAGTCGACTCGTCACACAACATCAAACCACTTGGAACACATCACAAAGGTCTGAGGACTCGACCTCTTCAGCGCCGACTGTAGGTCACAACGGAACGTGTGCTAAAACGAACCGCAGGGCGAACGCTCGAAACGCATGTTTCGCTCGCAACGAAAAACGTCAGGCTCTGTGCGCACCTCGAGAGTGGTGGCCACGGCATTCGGCTCAAGTGCTGTCATGAAACTGCAGGCTAAAATTCACATTCGTGTTATTTTGTTGAGACGAATGCGTTCTGCCAGCCTCTCTGAGTTGGATCCATGGCTTTTTCAGCCAACTCATGACCCCTTCGACCAGCTTTTCACTGATCTTCGTGAGGCTATCCGACCATTGCAAATGGGTCGGAACCCAAAACACTTGCTCTCGTGAGACATGCTGCTGAATCCCTCGAATGACAACGATGGTTCGTTTGTCTTCGGTACGAGGGTTCTCGCTGCAAAGAACGTCATACAGCGAGCGGCAGTCTGTCACGGAGATGATCCTGAGGGTTCGGCTCAGCTTGAAGCTTGCTTCATTCATCAGTATCTCCGTCAGGAGGTAGGCAAGGAACGAAGCCCTGTCAATGCCAGTGTCACATGCGCTGGCCTCAGCGCTCAACGTGGATCTACAGATCCTGGCCGACCTTGAGCTCTTCCAATCCAGCAACATACCTGTGCTGACCGTATCAACAGCTTTCGGCTCAGCCAACAGCAACAAATTGCCATGTTGTGAAGCGCTTCCAGCTGCATTTGCCCAACTACTGTCACTGTAGTTGACCACCATGGTCTGCAAATTGATGGCCACCGGCCAAATGCAAACGCCTTGGTCCTTTGTGGCATGGAGGTGTTCCACCGCGAGGTACATGTCGTACAAGTTCTGGTACGTGGCATTGGCTCCACGACTGCTCAATGAGACCACTGCCGACACGTCAGGTCGGGTTTGTCCAGACAACCATTGCAAACATCCTGCGACGGATCGCAGTTCAGGCAGGTCCTCTGGGAGGATGGTTTCAGTGAGCCTCTTCTTGCACTGCACGCTGCCAACCTTCATGCCCTCGATGAAGGCCTTTTGAGTCAACGCCAGGTAGGTCTGGTTGCCATGCTGGCGGAGTGACAGCTCTTTGCCCTTGAAGACAATGCTGTTGTCCAATGTAAGCACTTCTTTGCTGCCCCACTCAAACAAACTTGTCAATGCACTGCGGTCCCAACGTTCATTGTGAACCAACAGAAAATCATCAACATATGCAATCAATGCTGCAACCAACATTTCGTGCTCTGTACCTGGCAACTTGGCGTAAAGGACAAAGAGCATCTTGTCCAGGGTGTGTTGGCGGAATCCTGCACTCAGGAGTGTCTTGGTGACATGGTTGGTCCATGTCTTGGGTGCACTTGCCAAACCGTAGATGTTGCCAACGATCTTGTACAGAGGAGAACGAAATGTGCCTGCTCGTTTGGTGATGCCGTCTGTGGGCGGTGACAAAAACAAAGGCAGCTTCCGAGGGTCAGGCTCACCCTGCAAAAATGCTGTCTTGACATCTCCTGTCCACAACACCCAGGCGTCCTTGCCGTCAAGCAAAAGGTGGTTGTGGCCGCTCACGAACAATGCATATAGCACGTGCTCGCTTTGGCGCATTGGAGTTGCGCTCTCCCCGCTAAGTTCATGCAGGTCTGGGTCTAAATGACCCAAGGCAACCACGCGAGTCTTCGCTCGCAACTGTCCTTGGCCTTTGGACTTGTCTCGATAGGCTGCTCGAGCCTTGAGGATGCGTCGCCTCAGCTGTGGATCTTGCAGGACCTTGTCTGCTTCCTTTTGGGATAAAGGAAGGACGGAGTTGAATCGCTGCCAGCTCTTTTCTTCGGCACGAGCTGATTCGACAAACTGCTGGATGGCTTCTTCTCCCATTTGCAGTATTGCTTGCCAAGGCAGTTCCTTGTCCAATGCTTTCTGTTGTTGTCTTGTTAGGGTCTGTGAGGAGCCGGCTTTGCTGATGTTGACATGGCCTTGGTGTCCTTTGGTCATGTCGTCTGCTGATGCATCCGAGTCTGAAGACTCTCCGGTTCCCATGTACTCGGTTGTGGTGCGATATGCTCTCAATGCCATGTGTGCTGTGTAGGGTAGACACACATCTTCGGATCCATCGTGGTGGTCTGGTTGCTGTGTCATGCCGTCTGGTGTGATCACCAGGTTGCTTTGGTGTGGCCATTGTGTCTCTGGTTCGTACCAGAGCTCTGTCACCATGTCGGTGCGCACTGGAGAAATGGGGAGCCCATCTTGAGCGTCCGAAAAGGGAGCGTCCCAAAGCACTTCGCCGCTTGGAAGGGCGAGTACTCGACGGTGCTGGATGCATCTCTTTGGAGGGCCGGTGAGATGCGTGGTCTGCAGTGTCTGTGATGACACGTCACGACGTGCCCAGACTCGGAGGGTCTGGTCTGCCGGTGTTCTGGATGTGGCCATGCGGTGATAGCCGTGGAGGATGTATGCGCTGGGTGTCAGCCGCTGCTGCCGGGTGTGCTTGAGCACAAGTGCCTTGTATGTTCGTTGTGCTGGAATTGGTTGTTCCATCTCGGAACTGGTCCTCTTAGAGGAAGTTTCCTGCACAAGGTCTGGCGGTGTTGTTGGAGCTATGTTCTCCAGATGTGGCATATGCGGCTGTGATGGTGCGCTATCTGGCAGTTTATCCACGTCGATGACCTCGGTCGTCCCAGGCTGCTGACTTGGTGTCAGTGCTGACTGTGGGTCAGCCTGTTCTGGAAGAGGTGGTGCATGAGGTAATGCATGCCTCGGTGTGTATGGTCCTGGGCCTGGTGCATCTTCAAGCTCAGGTGCTGCTGGTGTTGGTGGGCCAATTGACCTGTCGCGTGGTCGACGGCCACCTGGTGTGCGAGAGCGGTGCTGCCTTCGCACTGGTGCATTCACTGGTGGTTCCATCCACTGTTCGGGAGTCATTCCAAAATGGCTTTGGGTTTGGATGACTGTCTTGTTGTATGTGGGTGAATGGACGTTCAGGTGGTATTCCACCTGTTGGCTCACAGGCGGTCCATAGGGGTCTGTCTGCACTGCTTCTTCGGCATGTTCCTGCGGCTGCCGCTGCTTTTGCTCTGTGGTCTCAGTGGCTGGAGGTGGTACGAGAAAAGGTATGCCTGATGTTGGAATGTCAACTGGTTCCTCTGGCATGTCGGTTCCGAGGGGCTGATCTGGGTCCTCGGGTGGTTCTGGAATGGACTCATCTCGAAGAAGCCCTTGGTGCAGATTATCGGCTGCTGTCCTCAGCTCTTTGATCTGCTGGTAGTCAGGGTTCCAGCACTCGAAACCACGGGCAATGCGTAGCTGATGAGGTGCCACGCGAATGGTGTTTGTGCCTGCTTGCAACCACATGCTTTTGCCGTCAGGATCACGTCCGAGAAGGCGGGCTAACTTGTAGCCTCCTCTTTTCTTGCCAGACCGTGCTGTCCAGCGCCAGTATGCCACTGTGGCACCGATCTCCGGAATATCGGAGTTCTGTGGCTGTGTGTTTCGGAGCAGTGCTCTCCGAAGACTGCTGTCCACTGCCATTGCTGCTATGTGTTGTTGTGCCTCTGCGCGGATGGTGTCTGCGAATTGCTGTGCATGGGACCTTGTTTGTCCCGTGACGAGGCCGTTGGGGTCGTTGAGGAGATCAAGACCCTGTCTTGGGATACGGCCGAATGCAGCTATGTACGGTGGGCGGCCTGTGCTCCATGTGCAGCTGTTCTTGGCATGTGATGTCATGGCCGTTAGGATCTCCATCTGATCTGGTCCGGAGATGCCCTGGGAATCGATCACTCTTTCCATGATCTCCCGGTATGTTGCGTTGTGTCGTTCGATGAGGCCAATCTTGTGGTGGGCCTCTGCTGGGATGTAGTCGATGTAGACTCCGGCTTCATCCATTGCTTCTTCGAAGGTGGATCTGAATGATCCGTCTGGGTCTGTCCTCAGTCGTAGTGGGTATCCAAATGGTCTGGCCCAGGCCAACTGGAATTGGCGGTTGACCTCTTCTGGGGTGCGGTCCTTAAGCAGTGCACCGATGTGGAGGTGTGTGACTTCATCGATGATGCCAAGGATCATGTGGTTGACGCCCCGGATGTCCCGGACGTACATGATGTCCATTTGGATTCTGTCTGCGAATTGGGAGGCTGCTTCATCCGGAATGCCACTGCCTGGGTCTGGTCTGCTAGGGCCTTTGGTCCGTTCACAGCTGTTGCACTTCATGTTGTCAATGGCTGTGTAGATGGTTTGGTTCCGAACTCCGTTCATGCCCAACAGCTTCTTAAGTTCGGCTGGGCGTGGATGTCCCATGTTCTTGTGCAGTCGTCGAACTGCCAGCTTGATCTCTGCCGGCAGCTTGATGTGCTGTGGAAATGTGATGTCTTCGGCTGGTCTTGGGATGATCTGTAGAGGATAATCTGGTGATCTCTGCTGTATTGGCTGTGGTTGTAGTGCCATAGATGGTTGTGATGAATCAGGAGGTGTCTCTATGTCAGGCTGCTGTGGTCCCTGCAGTCTTGGTCGTTTGGCCTCAGGTGGTGGTTCATTCACATGACCGAACATGAAGATGGCCAGTTGTACTGGCTTCTTGAAGCGTGCCCTCGGATGTCTGAGGAGCTTGAGGTCCTCTTCGAAGACTTCTATCTCGCCGTCGGTGTACTTCAGTGCTGCTGCTCTATGTGTGTGTGGTATGTGTGAAGGAAACCTCCACACCATTGGCTGCCATGAGATCTGAACTCTCTCAAGTTGATCCCATTGTGTCAACTGGGCTGCCTTGGTGAAGAGCGGGTCTGAAGTCGGCAAGGTAAAGTTCTTGTATCTGGTGACCTGGAAGGTGCTCTCGGCTAGACCTATGGCTTCGGCCCAGTCAGAGATGGTGGTCACCATGTGGATCTGAAAGGTCTGCTTGGGGTGGCCGCGATCAGGATGTCGTGCTTGTGCTTCTTCTTTGACGCCTTGCAGGATGACGGTTACACTGGACCTCAGACAAACCGCAGCAGCTCCGACAACCCTGGACAGGTCGCACTATATACACCATCCAGCACGTCCAGAACAGGCCAGTGGGACCACTCACCAACGCAGCACGAAGAAGCTTGCGTACCCAGGTGAGACAAGCACACAAGGTCTACGAGACGGAGTATGCCATCATGAGCCAGTCCATGGATGACAAATATGTGCACGAGCACCTACGAAAGCACAAGCACCAAACACCACGGGTTGACATCTTGGAAACCTTCGCTGGCACCGCCAACATTTCAAAGAGATGTCACGAGTTCAACCTCACAGCGGCTGAACCCATCGACTACAACACCCGATGGGATCTCCGTAAGCCCGCACATCGTGACCGAGTGCCAGAGATACTTGATGTACTACGACCCATCGTGCTCATTCAGGGCATTGACTGCCGTGACTGGTGTTTGCTCCAGGACAACTGCAACTATGTTCGCAGGAAGATCTTGCTTCTGATGAGAAGGGCCAAGGCAAGAGTCCTTCTTCGAAAGGTGGCAGCATGGTGCAGACAACAGCACCAACAAGGTCGATGCTTCCTCATCGAAAACCCGTTGACCAGCAGGCTATGGCAAGAACAATGCATCCAGGACCTGACCAAGCTGGATGGAGTACAGTCCACCGTGTGCCATGCCGGCGCATACGGCGCCACCAACAGCAAAGGCCAGATGATCCGTAAAGCTCATCGCTTTATGGGCAATTGTGAGCCGATCCTCCGACGACTCACCAAGAAGCTCACACCACACCAACTCCAGTCCTGTGCACCACTGGAAGGGAAAGAGACCACACTGTCACAGGTCTATCCCAAGCAGATGCGTGATGGTTTCAAATGTCCCATCCTCATAGTGGATGTGTGCCTGGCACTGTGGGTGTATGAGATGTCTCGGAACTGGACAACTGTCTTGGCTGAGGTTGTGCAACAGGAGTCTTGGGAGGATATGGTGGCGGATGCACTGAAGCCGAATTTTCTCCCAGTAGTCCTGGTGCTCTGGTTGGTTCTCATCGTTCACCACTCCCATTCCTCGTCCGACCGCTGTCGGAAGATGTCCGGATCGTCCGAATCCGGAGGGAATGCTTCCGGGCTCACTGAGTTCATGATGTCCTCGAACTCGTCCCTGGTGTAGCCGCTGCCCCTGAAATTCTCCTCCGACATGGCGTAGTGCATTGGACCTTGGGTCCTGGAGCTCTGGCTGGAAGTAGTATTGGATGTCTTGATGGGAGGCTGCTTGCTCTTGGGCTGCGGCTTGCTCTTGGTTGCCGTTGTCTTGGCTGCCAAATCCGTGAGTGAGAGGATATTGGCTGATGATGGTGGCGGCAGCGCCGAGGAGCTGGAGGACTTTGGAGAATACACCACCCAAGCGTCGTGCTCCGTGTTCCACTTGAACTTTTCCTCGCAACGGAGACACATCGAGAACCGGCCGTGTGTGTTGCCGTAACGGCGGAACTCTGGGTGTGTGCAGCTCTTCTTGGCCGGTTTTGGCCTGATGAGTGCCTTGCGCTGCATCTCCTTCAACTCCTGGTGTTCGGCACTTGTAAGCCAGGACCGTGGGCGGATGCCCAACTTCACCAACCGGCTCATGCTCTTCATCACGTTGAGCTCTAGCAACAGCAACCGGAGAATGAGAGTTCTCCAGTGAGCCAACCATTCTGGAGCTTGCTTGGTCTTGTGCATGTGCTCGGTAGGTGCCGAGGATCGAATTGCTCTGAGCGGACACGGCTTCAGGGTGCAAAACAAGCTCTGGTGCCTTCTTGTCCCAACAGGTTTGATCAAACAGTTCATTCCAACATGGAAGCTCGCTTGCGAACGGTGGAAAGGCTGTAATACATGCAACAATGTGACCATGCTTGCGAACAATGGGAACTGAAACACCCAACTTGGACATGTGCAAAACGTTTTGTTGTAAGTCAATCACGCATCCAAGCCCTTCCAAAAGAACACGACTTGCGAGAAATGGAATCGGCAACGGAAGGATGCTCACACCAAAAAGAACTCCCTGGGTCTCCTGGCCACGAAAGCTGGCCGGCATGTAGCAGCGCTCTGCGGCTGTCTGCGCTCCACCTGCACCAAATTGAAATCTGTCTTGACAATGTTGATGCAGACTGGACAACCCATGGTTCTGTAACAACTTGGTGTGTGTTGCAAACCATCTCTCACCAGCGCACGAACGCTGACATGCAGTATCCAAAACCATGTAGCCAGCAAGGTCTATGGTTTCTGTGGTGTAAACTTTGCATGATTGTTCTGCGAGGACATAGCTGGTGGGGAAGTTGAAATACATGTCTTGACCCTGGTGCTCATCATCGTGTGCATCTTCATCACCATACGTAACCACAAATGCTTTCCTGGGTTGACCTGTCGAAGGTGCACTTGATGAGGAGGCTGGAGTACCGAAACGTTTGGACTGCTCCTTCCCTTTGCTCTTGCTTTTTTCCGGCACTCTTGCCAGTGGATGATGCACTGCATGCTGCGTCACCCGCCCAGTGCCCCATGGCACCACAGGCGGAGCATGCACTAGTCCGCTTCCGCTCCTCGATGGATCGACGGCCAGAGAATTTCCTGCCCAAAACTGTCGACTGCAGCTTCTTGGACGTCACACTGAGGACTGTTGCAAGGTTCTCCAATGACTCGTCGAGGCCGTCTGGCTCACCATCTTCCGGTTCTTGTTGATCGCCCTCTTCATCAGCCTGATCTTCGAGTGGCTCGAAGAATTCCTCCTGGGCTTCCTCCTCCGGGATGTCGTGCAGGGTGTCTGAACAAGGCCCATCGGCTGGGTCCACCTGCTCAGCTTGGAACACGCGACGTGGTCCTCCCTTGCCCTTGCTCCTGTTGTATGCTGATGCTGAGGACGGAACCGTCGTTGAGGATGATGAACTGACTGCCGACTTGCCGCTGCCTTTGGAGTAGTGGCTGTGGGAACTGTTGTTCTGTCTCCAACCACCTGACTGAAACACTGCTGGCGTGGGCCGAAAATCCGGAAACTGCAACTGCAAACTTTCAACAATGCTGTCGAAGTCCAGATTGCATTGAGCGCCAATCAACACAAGCCTCTGCAATGATGGGTCCAACTTACAGCGCTCTAAGATGCGGTTTCCCCTAGACTCCGCATCGTACATTGCAGCTGAACTAATACCAACACTTTGCAGGTCCCTTTCAACGCGCTTGTACCTGTTGATGAATTGGCGGACTGTCTCATGCCCTTGCCGTGCAATGTTCTCATAGTTTGACAGCAGCATTCTCTTCTGATACAGCAGTTTCTGCTCCAACGGGCCCTTGAGGCAGGAAAGGATGTAAGCCACGCCATCCTTTGCATTGATCTTTTCAAGATCCATGTGTTCGGCTTCAGCTTCGGGTTCGCCACTGAGGCTAGAGAAAAGCATCAAACCTGCTTCAGCTCCAGTCAAATAGTGTTGCACTTGCATCTGCCAAACCTGAACTCTTCGTTCATACTTTGCGAATGCTCTGAGGTCCGTCGAGGCGTACTGCCATTTAGGAGGCTGGGGAGGGGAACCTCCTCGCCATTTGAGCCCTGGTGCCGGGCCCTTTCCGCTGTTCCATGACGATGTGCTATCGCCACGTCTGTCATCCAACAATTGCTTCAACACCTGTAGCAGCTCTGATTGCTCTGTACCTGATTGCGTCTTTGACGGAACAGGAAGGTGAGGAACTGTTGGTGATCTTGATGCACGCACATGCTCTGCATTGTCAACTGTCTGTGAATCAACATTGGGGTTGGGAGTCTGCGCAGTGGTCTTTCCCTTCTTGCGACGTCTCCTCGATGAGGTCGATGAAGCTGCCAATGAACCGCTCTCCATAGGCCAATCGTACCGACTCGAGGGGTCAACAGAAGGATCAGTGGTGTGCCTCTCGCTCTCGAACGTCTCCTGTGTCGGTTCCTTGGAAGGGTCACCGAACTGCCTCTGGGAGACATGAGGTTGAGGGCCATTCACCTGCTGATCTTCGCCTCCGGCCTTAGGGATGAAAGTCCAAGTACCTTCAACTGTCTGTCGTTGAGCGGGGTGCAATGTATGATAGAACACGTCATGACCGCACGACAAGCACTTGTATGTACCAAGCTCTGTATCATCGACCTGCCAAGAGGCGGAATCACACCGCAAACACCTCCAAGAAACCGGCTCGCTGCTCGAAGATGAAGGGGCGTGTACTGCACCTGGATCAACATCTGCCATGGAAGCCTGTAGTCGTTCGAAGGCGTCCAACTCTTCAGGGCCCCATTCAAAAGCCGAAGAGGTGTCGTCGCCCGACGACAGATCAAAGCGTTCCACCATGGGCAGGCTCCGGTGCCGACACAACGGAACGTGTGCTAAAACGAACCGCAGGGCGAACGCTCGAAACGCATGTTTCGCTCGCAACGAAAAACGTCAGGCTCTGTGCGCACCTCGAGAGTGGTGGCCACGGCATTCGGCTCAAGTGCTGTCATGAAACTGCAGGCTAAAATTCACAGTAGGACCAAACCACCATCCCAAAGAGCTGCAACCGTCAAATGCATAGTACCCAATGTGGGTCACCGAGTCTGGGATTGTCCAGTTCACCAAAGACTTGCAATCCTCAAAGGCACAGACTCCGGGATGGTCAAATTCACCAAAGACCTGAAAGGTACAAGCCGCAATGTGGGTCACTGAGGGTGGAAGGGCCACATCTATCAAAGAGCCGCAACCCGCAAAGGCATAGTACCCAATGTGGGTCACCGACTCCAGTGCAGGATGGTCACACTTGCCAAAGAGCTGCAAGTCACAAAGGCACAGTCCCCAATGTGTGTTACTGACTGTGGGATGGTCAAGTTTGCCAGAGATCTGCAATTCTCAAAGGCATGATTCCCAATGTGTGTCACTGAGTTTGGGATTGTCAAGTTTACCAAAGAGTTGCGATTACGAAAGGTAGAAGCACCAATGTGAGTCACTGAGTTAGAGATTGTCAGGCTCGCCAAAGAGATGCAATCCTCAAATTCATGGTCTCCAATGTGCGTCACTGAGTTCGGAATGGTCAAGCTTGTCAAGGATCGGCATCGCTTGTCAATTCATAATCCCCAATGTGGGTCACTGAGTCTGGGATGGTCAACTTGGCTAAAATGCTGACTGGTGCTTCCCCAATAGAGGTTCTATTGGATCCATTCCCTCATTCCTTGCCAAGCACCGGTCAAAATGTGCTAACCCGCGGAAAAGCTGTGAGTTTTGTCAGGGATTTCCACCGCTTTGGACCACAGCTCCGAGTCAACAACAGCACCAAGACTTGCGACAACATATTCCCTAGGGCTCCTGGCCCACCTCCTGAGAAGGTGGTCGGGGTGGGTGCCAGAGGGGTCTAACTAGTTCCTGAGGATGTGGGCCAGGCCCTAGGGATTTCTTGGAGCATATCACCAAAGAATCAGCTTGAAGACCACACACAAGTAAGCAAATCGGCCATGACTCGGCGTCTGTCGATGTCCGACCGCTGGCGAGCCACACGATCAGCCGGCACCGTCGCCGACGATCGGCTCGTGCTCGGCTGTTGCTCTTTGATCTGCTGAAGGCTCCCTGCCTGTGCAGGCCGTAGTGCTGCGAGTGAGCTCATCCCAGCTCGGCTGTCCCTCCTTGATCTGCTTGAGCGCCAGGCCTGTCACCTCCGTGACTTCAAGAAACATGCTTTCACCACTTGGCAGCGCGGACATTCGCATGGCCATGGCTCAAACACCTGGCCACATTTGGGCTGATGACTGATGGTTGTGTTGATTTCTGATTGCGGCATGCTAGCTGGTCTTCCAAAGCATTCTGAACTTGGTGGTGAACAAGGGTTTTGCTCCCTTGCTGGTTCAAAGCGTGGTGTAACATCAAGGAGTCAAGCAGTCGGGCACATTGTCCATTGATGGAGGTGTTGTGAAATAAGGCTCTGCATCTAGACCTGATGATTTCTGATTTTAATCAAAACCTGTTCGTTTCGTTTTCACATGTCCTTGCAATGGTTACCGCTGAGTTTCCAGTCAGTCAGAGACCAAACGCTCCACGCTTGTTGGAAGGTTTTGGATTGCTTTCCTTTTGCTAAGAAGCTTCAAAGACCAATATATTATATAACCCATATGTAAAAAGCCTTATTGTTACGACCGTAGGGATGGCCTCCATAGCGATGGCTTCCACTGTAAGGACATCGCTTCGGAGCAATTTCGGAGCGATTTCGCGGGCGCCCATGCCTCCCCCACATAGGGAACTTGGAGAGACTACCGAGCCAACTTTACGGGTGAAGTTTGTTGGAAGGCTTCAAAAAAAAGCACCAGCATAGATTAGAGTCATCCTGGACAAGCATGGAATCAATAGAACATGTGGACATCAAAAAAACAATACAAAGGAAACTTGTCATGCTCTTCGATCATTACATGACCATTATAGGTTGCTGTTTGTTCTTCCCTCCGTGCTCTTGACTTTGCAAGGTCTGCTCCAGGATACGCATCACTCATCAAGTTCGACTTTTTTGGTAGATCTTCTCTCTCTCTCTCTCCATCGCCTTCTCGAAGAGTTCAGCCGTTCGCTAGTTCGGCGAGTGGAGAGAGAAAGCGGTCGACTTCACGTCCAAAGCGAGGGAACCCCCGAGCGCACACGCGCCGCCCGTTCCAACGTTCAGACGTCGGGTGTCCTTTCGCGGGAAGTAGGACGTCCCAAAGGCCATGGCCCTCGGGTGCGATGGACAGGTGGCGAGTATGGCACGGTGAATGGAGGAGTATGGCGAACACGGGCATAGTCAAAAGACTCGCCTGCCCTCATATGACAGGCCTCGAGATTTGCATCATGACCCATGATTGGGAGGTCACTCTTGCAGTCCCATCCAGTGTCTATAGGATAGGACCCCTCAAGTGATCCACTCCAAAAGACGTTACACCTTCAAAGGAGCATGTGGAAGCATGGATCATCATGGATCCAATGTTTCAGACTATTGACAATACTGGAACACAGTTCGGCTGCTTCTGGGGTCCCTCGGGACAATTCTTCTTGCACTGCTTTTCGCAGTAGTCGACCTATTGAATGGCCAGTTGCACTTTCACGCTGGTTCCCCCAGGTCGATCTATGGTCACATTGAAGGGTTCCAGTTCTCCAAACTCTCAGGAGTTGGATTTTGGATCAGTTTGGATTTCTGCCGATCGCCGATCCTCAGGGTCCAAAGGATTGCAACCGATCCGGCCCGGCCGGCCCCAAAGATGGGGGGATTGCTTCGACCCAAAAACCCTCTCCTCCCCGGCATCACGGACCGGAAGAAGGAGGCAACAGACCGAAATACTCCACGGAACTGGAAGAGTTACCAAAACCAATTGGACATTCTCAAACAAGTACATCATTGGATGGATGAGGTGCGTTACAGGACCTACCAAAATCCAGTCGTACCTTCTCAGGTACGGTGAGGAAGGCTACACTGTATACCTTTGGAGGGTCCAGGGTCGGCTCGAAACCCCGGATCCTTCGGGATTCAACGAAGGGCTGGAGCGTCGTACCTCCTCAGGTATGGACCCGAACGCACCCCAGTCCAGTCCCATTCTCGAAGCTACGACTGGAGCCCTATAGGGCCTATAGGGACAAGGTATGGTCCGATGTGTTCGTTAGAAAGTGACTCCCCAGTCCCAAATGAGCTGGCACCTTTGGGGTCCGGTCCCCAAAGTCCGCTAATTAGGTTCCTAGACCTAGTCCTGGACAGCAGCTGGGCCACCCCGTGGTGATGGACGTTTTGCGGATGACTTGGCCATGGTCCGCGTCGTACTCGTCTTTCTCAATGGTGATCCCCTCGTTGCCGGAGACTTTGCGCAGCGCTTCGTGGATGGTCTGCGTCACAGCTGTCAGTTCCGATGGCGTGGTTGTGATGCAGAACCTGGCTGATCTGATGTGGTTGGAACGACCGCTACGGTAGACCCTCCTATCGACCCTTACGCCTTACAAAGGGAGCACATACAGGGACACCCATTTCAGCATTGCTCACGGAAAGCGGAAATGTTAAGACATAGATCGATGCAAACACAACTCTGGGCCTGTCCATTGAAATCCACTAAGTGTTTGTAGGGTACAGGCAGGCTAATGGAAATACCATATGGCAAGTATAGAAAGGATCGTGTTTTTCCAGGAGCCCAGGACTTCAAAATCAGGACTGAACCTCCATGAGGACTGAACCTCCATGAGTCCATGAGCCATATCGATTCTGCACTGACCTAGACCTCGATCTTCCAGGTCTCCATTAGACTGCCTTACACTTGTTGTGGATGCTTCTCTTTAAGATCGATCCGGGCACGTGGTCCAGAAAGCCCAGCACAAATCCGCAAACTAGAACCCTTTATGAAACAGTTGTTTGACCCAAAACGAGACATCAGTCCTCCAAACGGATTGTGCTTTAGCATGCTTTAGCTGCATTGGGGTGCAATCATGTTGACTGACTACTGTGGTCCGCACGAAGTTCCGCCAACATCTTTTTAAGTTCAAGCTAGGAGGAAAAGAATGAGACAAAACTTCAAGTCACACCTATGTCCGTCTAAAAGGGCGCCATAACACTCCAAAAGGCGTTGAACATGTTGAACCATCTTTAATCTTTCCATCTACTCCTACAAAATGGTCACAATCATCCAAACGCAACCACCCTTTCTTCGAGACACTTTCCAGGAATATTTTGATCCTTCACTGCTCCAAAAGCCAACGCACCCGAAGTGCTTGGCTGCTTCAGTTTTTTGAAGACCAAACATGGCCAATCCTCGGAGTGCTGGACGTGAGCTTTTGGGGTGACTCAGGGATCCTTGTGACTCGCGCGCGAAACTCTCCGTTTGGTGCCCCCAGGTTCGCGGAAGAAGGTGTGCGGCTGACTTGGTAATGAGTCAACTGAGAGTTCAAGAGAGACATATGGACATGTTAGCTAACTGTTAGCTCTGGGTCAAAGCCCAGAGAACAAACCACTTGACCTATGAAGGTCGTTCGCGGCAAAATGGCGGACCAGGGCTGCCAGGGCTGACCTGTCCCCATGTTAGCTGTGCTGTCCCTGCCTCCCTCATTGCATGAGTGATGGGTCATGGACTTTGACAACGTCTCCGGCACACCCAAGATCCCAGTCATTGCCACGCAGCAGTTGCACAGCCATATAGGCCCTATCAGTAATTCAGGGATTGGTTCGAGCCGGCCGAGCCGGTGGCGGTAGAACTCGTGGGGATGCAAGCTCCAGCTCAAGAACATTCCAAATAACTCTTTCTGGACATGTGCAATTATACCAGCACCCGACTTCACAGGTGCTTCCTGGTGACAACAGGTGCCCAGAAACAAATAGCTTCTTGGAGGATCCTGGTATAGATGGCGTACTTAGGTAAGTGCTAGAAATGCTTGACATGTCGATCCCCGTGTGAAGCAACAAAACTGATCATGCCTGCCCCTACGGAAATTTGAAGTGATTCGAGGGCTTCCAAGTGATTCGATCCCAAATTCCGCTGACTTTCGGTGGAATATGTACACCTCTGAAATAGCATACCCAGGCATACCCAGGCTTATCGTCGTTGTCTTTGTTGGGATGTGCTTTCGCACCTGAAGAGTCTCGCTTCAGAACGTCTGGAACCATTGGAGCCTACACCTTGAGAGCTGCTTGTGGCGACCACGATGCTGCTGCTATCTGATCATTTTTCAGCTCAGAGTCCACTTTGATTCCACCAAAGTTGGGGCCACAAACTAAATGCCAACCCAACTTGTAGACCTCCTGCCCAGGAAGTCTCGGAAAAACGAGAAAGAAACACCGGAGAAAAGAAGGATTCAGAAGGAATGCGCACCCTTTACGTCTCTGCAAAATCTGAATCTGATTGAGTCACTCTGGGTCTGATCGGAAGAAGCTGTGATGCAACACATCCAGGACCGTGGGACTGATGAAACACCTCCGGGTGGACACCAGGAAACACCGGGCTTCAGATTCAGACCCATGGCATTTGGGGTTTCACATCAACCCTATCCCTATCTGGAACCCTCCCAAAGTACACTGGAACATGGGGCAGCATGACTTGGCAGAATGACTTTGCGCCACCTACTCTCAATCCATGACATCTTCTTACTTCCTCCCAGTGGCCCAGCCAAAACCCCCTTGGAGCTGATGAGGCGGGCCGGTCGACGGAATGCGGGCGATCGACATGGAATTCACATCAGAGCCATGCTAGCTGTCGCCATGCCAGGAGCCCCTAGTAGCGTCCTTGCTCCTAGTAGTGAGGCCAGGAGCCCCTAGTAGCGTCCATGCTAGCTGTCGCCATGCCAGCTTTCTCCATCTTTCTACAAGACGTTTGTCTTGTTCCAGTCCAGCCTGAGTTGTCCGAGCGGGACAGTTCCATGTTCCGCTCATCAACACTCAAACTAGAGCGGACCTCCAAACGGTCCGCGCTCTTCCCGAAGGTCGCGTCGCCAACCAGATCAAACCCCCAAGACCTTCTTCCCCCACTGGGGGTGAAGTCACTTGACTAATCCTGAGGACCCGTGCACCTCATGCGATCTCATCATCATCATAGAGATGATGGAACATAAGAACATATAAGCTGAAAGTGATTGATATGTTGTTGATCCATTTGGCGCTGTGAAATCTCTTCTGCCTCGGGGGTTGGACTGATCAAGCTTCAAAAACAGTAGATGAAGCCGCTTGTCTTCTCCACCTGCCCGGTCCCTCTCACCCGGCTCAAGCTGCCGGGCCTCCAGAAGGGGCAAAACCACCTGGCCTTTGGGGAAATATGGCTTCGCCAAGCCTGGGACCGTCCGTTCACGGACGGAGGACGAAGCGATCGGAGGGAAACCCGGAAACCGGTCCTCCGATCGCGGTCGCATCAGAGAATTCGAGATCGGATGATCCGCCAGCAACGGCGACGGCGAACAGGGTGTGATGTCTTCGCGACCAACTTAGTCATTCTCAGGATTCTCGGCATCCAGCGCATGGTCACTTCGCTCTGAACTCACGAAAGCTGTAGCTAGTGGCACAGCTTGTGGTCACGTGTGATCTGGAAAGGAGCATTTCAACATCTCGCACAAGCCTCCACTCATCAGGGGCTATGCTCCATCATCTTCAAAAGCCTTCGCTGCCATGGGCCCGGTCGGTTCCGGTGCTTTTTCCGATGTCTAAGGCTTCCACTGAAGGCTTGCATCCCGCTGGTGATCGAAGTCTCTCTCCAAACCTCGGCGCCCAACAACTCCGACCGGCGACCGATCGGCGCCCGATGATGATGTCTGGGTGCCATTGGGTGCCCAATTCCATCGATCGATCGATTTCGGACACTCACAATCGATCGTCCAGCGTACAGGACACCGCGGCTGGAAGAAATGAAAAGGAAGATCTGGGTATGATCCTGGCAGTGCAAAGAGAACATCCCATGATTCACAAGGGTGAGAACATCCCAGGAGAATGTCCAAAGTAGTCCTCAACAAAGATGGGAATCGCGACCGAGGTTCCAGGTACACGACCCACGCCAGGAGATCTGGAAAACGCTAAGGGGTGCCAATTGGTGGTCACGGGTATCTATTAACCACCCCATGTCAGCTCAGTAGTGTCAGCTCAGTTGCTTCTTCCCCTTCCCGCCTGTTCTCCGCTCCAAGGAACCACATCCCACTCTTGCTGGGTGTCGTACTCGTCGAAGGCTTCCTGTGCCGCGGGGGAGACCTGCTTGAGCCGCGCGGCAAAGCTGCCCTTGAGCTGCGAGATCACCTCCGCGGGGCCACAGGCCATCAGCTTTCCTCTCGGGGTCAGCGGTGGGGTCGTTGGAGATGAGCGGAGGAGCGGAGCTATGAGTCAAGGAGCTGGGGGAAGAACTATGAAGAACTGACGAGTCAGTTCCAGTTGAAAGTGAAGAAGGCAAAAGGCAGAAGTTTGGGGTGGGGTAGTTGTTAAATAAGGGTTGGGATTCAAAAGGTGCATGTTGCATGAAGTGTTGAGGCATGTGATCTGCCCCTCATCTGAGGTGATGTCTTCTTGATCTGGATTCTGCTCTCAAACCTGCAAAAATAACAAAAGCCGGGCTGACCATTGGAAATTGGGTGCCCCTGTCGGGTTGCGTAGGTTACGCCGATCTGTGCCTCACCTCCACGGCTGGATGGGAGCTGTTACCTTCCATCCACTCCATGGGATGGACACTTAGAGTCACAAGACGGGGTGGTGTTTAGTCCCTAGAGTGGATGTGACAGGGGCACCCCGACAACCCAACTCCTACCTCCATGGATCGCACCAAGAACAAAAACGTGACTGCTGGTATATGATGCCTACCTTGACGCCTGAAAATCAACCAACCCAACTGATCGAGATCAATCTTCCGGTCCCATGGGTCTTCCAGTTGGGTGGAAGTGATTCACGTCGCGAGCGCAGAACCAAGAGAGGTAGCCAGTGACCTGAACTAGGACCCTAGTGGGGTACCTATATGGATAGGGTCCTAGTTCAGAACTAGGGGTAGAAACGACCCTACTATAGGGATAAGTTTACCGAACTGGGGGTACCGAACTAGGCCCAGAAAGCCTCCGAAAGCCTCTGATGTTCAGCCTCTGATCCACTCTCCTGGGATGTTCTGATCCTTCACCGCCATCAGCAACGTCTGCTTCTCATAGAGCTCTGCCGTGTCCTTTTCGCGGTGACGGAGCGGTAACGGAGTGGTCAGGTCGGAGCTGCGGTGACGGTACGACCCAGGCTTCGGGTGGACATAGAGCGCTGGCAGGACGTCATTTTGCAGTCAAGAACATGTAATAACATGTAAGAACCTATAGAGCGTAATTAAGTTACATCATATATTTGTGTCAATAGTATTCAAGGTCCCATTCTGAATATTCAGTCATCTCCTGGTGCTGGTGTTTCGCCCGTTTCGGCTGCTCCGCACGAAGAACTCCGGCCCGCCCGCCTTCTTGAACACGATCATCGGCCAATCGACGGAGGCCTGTGTTTCACAACGAATCCGCATGGGTCGCGGGGGCCGATCGGAACCAAAGAGATCCGAAGAGATCCAGTACCCAGGCACGACTAACCACCCCAATGTAGGTAAGTATACCATACATGGAGTGTCTGGGGTATTCTTGGACAATGAACATAGTGAAGATATGTGAAGATCAAGTCACTGCAAGTCTTTCACGATGCAACACTTTAATGACTGACCCGGAAAGAAACTCCACAGTATACATGTTTGAATCTCGCACAGTTCCTTTTCGCAGCAGCGAATCAGCTCAAGGGCCCTGTTCAGCCGAAACAGCAGCGACGGTGCATCAACTGTACGCAATACACCCTGGCTACAACAGCTGAAATTCACACCCGTCTTATCTACAGGTGTGTTGCGGGCTTTACAGTTCAAGTTGTACAAAGGCAGCCAAGCAACTCTATTCCCCGTGGGGCCGTAAACCATGCCATTCCATGTCGAATTCTCAAAACAAGTCAGGTGAGACTTCTTCATCTTTCTTCTTGGCTCCCTTCTCGCATGCGCCACTGTTCTCGACATTCACAAGGCCACTTTCCAGTGTCTTGAGGAGGTAGTCCGGCTTCATGCTCTTGGTTAGCGGGTCTGCCAATTGCTTCGATGTCTCAATCCACCTCAGGTGGTCACCATAGGGACTGTAGATCTCCGATGTTTTCTCGCCACTCACAGTCCACACTCCTTGCCTCAATGCGGCAAGTTCTATGCCAAGCCTCTTGTCCTGTACCTTTCTTGGAACTTCTGCCAGTAAATGGTCCGATAAGCTCCTGCAATCCGTGTAGTACACGTGTGCCATTCGCCTCTGGGTTTCTTCATGCCAGTTCTTGAAGTCATCAAGATGTCCGGTCAACTCACAAATCAGGCATCGTAGGCGGTCTCCATGTTCGACTGCAGTTTGCAGAGCATATGCTTCTGCTTGCAATGTAGCACGACACACCCTTTTGAGGGTAGTTGAACCAAAGCTGATCAGATGCATTCTGTGACTGCCTTCCTTGAGGCTGCTCGCATTCGTTATGTAGTGAATGCGGCCTTGCTGACTCTTAAAGCCTTCTTTGTTTGCGAAACTTGCGTCGCTAAATGTCACGACTGCCAGATCGCTCCAGTCAATCCAATCACTCTTGAAGGTGATCTGCAAGTCACTTCCTTGAAGTGCCAATTCAACAACCTTGTTGGCATTCTTCAAGTCTTGCACTGTTGCCTTTGCGCTACATGCACGCTGCATCTCATTCACACGGTAACAAAGGTCTGGTCTTCCATAACGGGCAACCCAAGCCAAACTACCAACAACGCTCCTGAGGCTTGTCAACTCCTTCTCTGTCACCTTTTCCGACAGCTTCCGGTGCTTGTCGATTTCGATCGGCTTCACTGTTCTACAGTTTTCACTTGTAGAAATGCTTACGGAGTAGTCCTCATGCTGTACGAACTGACGTCCGCAGTATCGGAACCTTCCCGATTCTGTTTTGCCAATTGTGAACCTTTTGAGGATACCTTCAATTGTCTTCTTGCCTTCGTCAAGGTAGCAATACAACAAGTCGTCGACATGTGTCGCGACCATGCCTATCAACTTTCCCTTGGAATTGTGCAAATAGTACAATGCAGGTGTAATGCGACTGCACTTCAATCCGGCACTGGTGATCTCACCATTCATCCTCAAGTAAAAACCTCTGCCAGCATCGATCGTGCCATAGATCGGAAGGCGTGCAACTAACATTGCATCCGGTGGAACATCCGGGCTTGGAATTCCTCCACGTGGCTGTTTGAGCAACAGCAACCTCGTCATAGGCTGACTTTGAAAATACGCTGAGGAAACATCTGCCGCATATAGGGTCACACGATGGCTTGATGCGAAGCTTGCAATCAACATGTGTCCTTCAGTCTCAGCAGTGGGGCTATCGCAACGAATACCCTGTGAATCACGGCTCACTTGTTCGTGATTTCCACAAGCTACTAACCGAGATCTGTTTTCTGGCCGATGTTCAGGCGTACCTGTCAGATGAGCTTGCTTATCCACATCTACCCATTGCATAGGAATAGGAACATGCCCTTCTTGAAGTAACTCTTCCAATTCCTTGCCTCGAATAGGCATTGCAGCATTGAAGCTCCTATATTTGCTCCACTCTGCACGACGTGCATCCAAGATGCGGGCTTGCATCTCGGGAGTGCATCGGTCGTATTGCAGCGTCTTTGCCACCTTGCCAACCTGCGTCTCACTGTTTTCTCCAAAGCGTTGAGCCACAAAGGCTCGAAACTCTGCAGCATCGAGTTCAGTGTCGTCAGCAGCGGCCATGGCGATCAACGGGTGTTTTACCCGTGTAAAGATTGTGAAACCTGTCCATGCGCGAGAATCAACATCATCCATGCCCGGCATGGACTCGCTGGTCATTCGACTTCCGTCTTCATAGACTTTTCTGGTTACGCGTCTTCCTCCGAATCCTTCCGGAACATCTCCGTCATGCAGCGGATGAAAGTCATGGAATCTCCTCTTGTTGTGAACACGAATTGCATGGTTCTCAGAGATTCTCCAATGATCTTCATTGTCAACCAATGCAAGCATGACCTCATCATCACCACCAATGCCTCCGGGGGTCATCGGAACTGCGACTGCGCTTCCACTCGCGCTTGCAGATGATCGGGCAGCCTTGCCCGTCTTATCTTCTGCTTGTGCTTCTCTCTTCTGTCCCTTCTTAGGGCTCGCTTCTTCGTCCATCATTCGGATGTACTTCTGCTGTCCCAATGTCACTGCCTCCGGGAATACTGGGATGTTGTTCAAAATAGAGTAGGCCAAAGATTCACTCTCATTGGCTGATCTGAGTTTTCCGGCGGCACACAAAATAGGAATACCTTCATGTAGCAACCAGATGCCATTGTGCGGGTCGATGCCAATCACACGCGAAGCAGTGGACCACACGGTTCCACCTTGCTGGGTGTCTCGACGGTAGACCACAAGGTCTCCAACCACAAATGACTTCTTTTTCTGGACTGCAGCATTCCTGGTCAGTGCTCTTGCAACACGGGAGCTTGTATCCAAATGGATGAATGCCTTTTGTGCAGCCATACGGGATGCGTGACACAAATGATAGCTTGCTGCAGGGTCAAGCTTGTTCTCCAAGATGCCCAAGTTTCCTGCCTCATCCATGTCTGTCACAGATCCTGGAACTCTTGGGTTCCTACCCAGGACCCATTGTGCTGGAGAATAGCCTTGGACTCTTTGCATATGGTTTTTCACGGAAGTGCACTCGTGCAAACATGTTTCAAACGCATTGCGACCAACGGCTTCCATGTCGTGGATAGTCTTCCTGAGAATTGCCTTCAGGATACCTTGGTGCCTTTCAACCTTGCCAATGGCTGATGGGGTTTCCAATGGTGCATAGAAGATCTCAACACCGTGCGAAGCGAACAGCTTGGATACCTCACCTCGGTTGTGGACACCTCTATCCATGATTGCGGCCTTTGGAAAACCTGCCCAACTGATCCATCTGCGAAGGATAGCTTGTGCACAGGCTTCTGACGTTGGCATACCTCCACCTTCTTTGACAACCTCTGACAAATGGAATCCTGTCGAAATGTCCAGCATCGTGAGAATGCTGTACTTGTTCCCTGCATAGTCCTTCATTTCTGTGACGTCAAGACCTAGCATGGCATTGAACTCATACTGGAAATTACTATTTCCTACCGGATGGTCACGGGGACGTGGTGCAGTGTCTTCGCAGGACTGACAACGGACGAGACGTGCAGCTTCGATTAACTCCTTGCTTGCCTTACCTGCCTTTAAGATATTCTTCAAAGTTGACGGTGCGGGATGTCCGAACTGTCGATGCAAGCGACGAATTGCAATGCGAGTCCTCTGGGGGAGAGCACGCCACAGTCGTCTCCGTTTCTGTTCCGTCATGTCGGCTCCGGGCAATGCAAGTTGATCTAGCATGAGTTCTTCTTGTTCTCTTGCCGTCAACGGTTTTCCATCATCATGTTTGGTTTCCTGAAACACTCCCTCAATGTCACTGTCCTCGATTTCAGAAATGTCTTCGAGTTCGTCTGCGACAAAACATGTCCGTGCAAAATGCTCCAAATAAGTTTCTTCTGACATGGTGTTCAACATCTCTAGGAGTCTTGTCGATTTCGCGTCTTCGAAACATTTTGGGGTCATGTTCTCTCCGCACCAACCTTCCAGCGCCTCCAAGAGCTTGGGGCTTTGTGGACCTGCCAAGGCAAACTCTAGGTCACCACCAAGGCAAATGGAGTGTTCGACAGATATCTCGAGAAGTGGTGTGAAAAGAAGAAGGTTGCAACCATACATGTCGACTTCCATGAGCATATCATTCCAAATCCTCCTGGGGTCCGTGTTCTCCAAAAACAGTACAACCAAACCAGGGATCTTATTTGAAATGTGCTTGATGACCTCCTTGCGGGTCTTCACCCAGTTTGCTCCTACATCGAATATCTTTGCACTCTGGGGTGCATTGATCAACATGTCATCCTTGACAATGACCATGTGTTGCACACTCAACGGGTTGTTCGAAACTAGGGCATGCAGGACTGAGTCATTCTCTTGCAAAGTCTGCAGGCCGGCGACAAACACTTGTTTTTCTCCTTTGTTCATAGTCCGGTGATCCAGAGCTACGAATGCGTGACCATCGCTTTCGGAGCTCAGCTCGATCTCCCCTTGGAAGCGGCTCATGATGAACTTGTCTCGGTCGAGCACCTCACGCGAGCTGGTCGGACGATCCGGAGTGCTTTGTGTACTCATGGTGACTACGTCATCGTCTGACAATTCCTCCTTGGGTGCGTTCGACGGATCGATAGCGGTGCAGCCATGGAACGGTTCAACAGGTTCAGCATCAAGTGCATCGTCCATCTTCTCCTCCTTGGGAGTCTCTTCTGCCGTCTCCACTGGTTTTGCCATCTCTGTGATCTCTGTCTTCGTGCGTTTCGAAGGTCCTCCGCTCGGCCCGTCTCCA